CTGGATGAGCCAGGTGATGCGGGATATCCATAAGCAAGTCGCAGTCTACACTTGTTATGAACAGCTAATACAGAAAACAGACTTCTCTCAAACTGTCTGGTTGAATATGCTGAATTAAGCTCAGAAGCAGTCACCCCAAACCTGCAGTTAATTTGAAGTTGCTTCTGATTTGGGCCTGAAGAAGGGCTTGTGTGCCTGAAAGCCGCAAACACTGAAAGCACTGTTGCTAAATCAGCTGCTTGAATGAAAGATGCTGCCTTTCACTGGAGTCCTGGCTCCCTTGTGCAGCCTCCGTTGTGGCTATAATTTTGCAGCTGCCGTAGCACATATCAATGCTCTCCTTTTTTTATCCTGAGGCAAGCAAAATGCAAATCTGGATCACGTGGGGTCCAAAGAGCAGAAGAGTAAGGCACTAATGAAAAATGTCTTGGCCGCTCTCCACTGAAGAACGCTTGCCCTTTCTGCAGCGCCCAGTTCCCCAGCTGCTCTGCGGAGCGGAGAGCTGGAAGGGCACAGACTGGACTTTGTGAGGCAGCGTAGGGTGGCGGGAACTAGCACTTGCAGGTGCTCCCGTGGCAAAGAAGTTGGAGGTGCACATGTGACAGTGTGAGGGGTGTTTGTGAGATGTTTGAGAAGCTGCCTTGCACTGGGAAGGGTCACATAACGTGTCTGCTTCTAGCGCTGTGTTCTTAGGTGTGAGATGCTTTTTCATGAGACTGCAGACGGTACGTAAGAACTGATGGCAAAAGAAGTCTCTGTAATAAGCTGTAGTAAGTAGAGGGTACTGTTGCCAGTTCCATGAGGGAAACTGGACTTTTAAGGCTAAATGCTTCAATATGACTTCACAGTAATTTGGTGCAATCCTTTTTAGAAAAGATTCCCCCTTTGAGATTCTTAATCCATTCTGCATTAACTTCCATGACAGTGTGAAAGCAACGGGTGTTAGACTTGATGTAACATATAAATTAATCTGTGGTCACAAGTCTTCTGTTTAACACCCTCATGTTACCTTCTCCCAAGGAGATGTTTGCAAGGCAGGTGTGGTGGTGGTGTGTCCCCCCTGTCCTT